TAAATGAAGCGGCAAAGATGAAGCAAGGATAAAGCAGATTAGGAGGTTATGATTAATGACCTGATCACACGTGGAATAGTCATGGAAATTAATCATGCACTAGGCCACAGGTATTATCAACATATTCCAATGTATTGACAATCCTACAGACTGTTCAGGCCACAAAGAAATGAAATTATTATTAGAAAACAACAGAAATAGCTATTGAAATCCCACATGTCTAGATATTTTAAAACATGACTATTTTAAAAACTCATTTAAGAGGAAGTCGTAACGGGAATAGAAAAAAACTGAGAGCAGAATAGCAACGAAAATATTGTCAAAAACTAGAGGAATTTATACCTTTGAATTCATTTATTACAAAACAAGAAAAATGGAAAATAAATGATATACCCCAAACTCATGAAGCTCAACTCTAAAAATATAAAAGAGCAACAGAATTAGATCAAAGAAAAAGGAAGAGTTCTGGGAGAATCCGTGAACAATTAGAACTATTAACAAATTCAGCAAAGCTGCTCAGAAAACGAAGCCAATACCACACAGCAATCCAACCAAAAAAATATACGGGACTTTTATAGAAAAAGAGTTGAAAAGTTTATGATCCTAAATATGAATAGAAGAAAATGTGAATAAAGGAAAATTCTGTTGACAAATGCAATATTTAACAGTGTCAGTTATCCCATAAGTTAACTTATAACTTTAAAAATATAACAATTGGTTGGGCACAGTCACTTATGCCTGTAATCCCAGCACTTTGGGAGGCCGAGGCAGGAGTTCAAGACCAGCCTAGCCAACACAGGGAAACTCTGTCTCTACTAAAAATACAAAAAAATTAGCTGGGTGTGGTGGCAGGTGCCTGTAATCCCAGCTACTCGGGAGGCTGAGGCAGGAGAATTGCTTGAATCCAGGAGGCAGAGGTTGCAGTGAGCAGAGATTGCACCACTGTACTCCAGCCTGGGTGACAGTGCAAGACTCTATCTCAAAAAAAAAAAAAAAACAGTAGGATTTTTTTTTTTTTTTTTGTAGATTGACAAGCTGATTCTAAAATTCAGAACAATAAATACCTACTATTATTTAAGTCAGTGTGAAAAAGAAAAGCCAAATGGGAACTCATCGGCCAGGTGCAGTGGCTCACGCCAGTAATCCCAGCACTTTGGGAGGCCAAGGCAGGAGGATCACCTGAGGTCAGGAGTTCGAGATCAGCCTGGCCAACATGGGGAAAACCTGTCTCTGCAAAAAATAGAAAAAATTAGCCAGGCGTGGTGGCAGGTGCTTATAATCCCAGCTACTCGGGAGGCTAAGGCTGGAGAATCACTTGAACCTGGGAGGCGGAGATTACAGCGAGCCGAGATTGCACCATTGCACTCCAGCCTGGGTAACAAAAGTGAAACAAGAAAAAAAAATGGGAGTGGGGATCGCCGTACCCCAGGTCATTTGGTAAAAACACAGTGATGTAAACTGGTACTGGTACTGGAACAGGCAGACTGATGGAGCTGAATGGTAAATCCAGAAACACACCGAAGTATATATGAAGAGCTAGTTTTTGAGTGGTAGATTCACAAGTCAAGGAAAAAGATGGAATTTTTTTTTAATGTGTTGGTAGAAAACTGCTTTAGTGAAAGTATAGAGGGAGACAAAATTATATCTTTGCCTCACCCTATGAAAAAAAATCCAGAGAGATTAAAGACCTAACGGTGAAAGCCAATAGATAAAAATCCAGGGTAACTTTGAGAATGTGGGATGGGACAAGATTTCTTCAAGTTCCAAAAAAAGGCCAGTTATAATGGAAAAATAGATTGATCTGTTGATGTCAAAATGGGAAAGCATTGAGGATGAGGTCCCTAGGCAGGGTAGGGGACTTGCGGTCTCTTACTTTCTTGGACTGAATTGTTGTTCTCTTCAGGGGGTTCAGACTCATCAGTGAAGGAGCCTGTTGGTGAGGAGCTTCATATGCAGGCATGGGTAATCGAGAGAGACCAGGACAGCTTCACCAGTGTGGGCGTTGCTCATTCTGTTGCAGCCTACGTGTTATTTTTCTTTGGTTTTTTTTTTTTTTTGAGATGGAGACTCACTCTGTATGCCAGGCTGCAGTACAATGGTGTGATCTCAACTCACTACAACCCCTGCCTCCAGGGTTCAAGCGATTCTTCTGCCTCAGCCTTCTAAGGAGCTTGGATTACAGGCACGAGCCACCATGCCCGGCTAATTTTTGTATTTTTTAGTAGAGATAGAGTTTTGCCATGTTGATCAGGCTGGTCTCAAACTCCTGGGCTTAAGTGATCTACCTGCCTTGGCCTCCTAAAGTGCTGGGATTATAGGCATGAGCCACAGCTCCTGGCCTTGCTTCCTACGTTTTCAAGATGCATGTGGGTCACCCTGAGGCAAAGGGTGGGCTGGTTATTGATTCCCAACCCTGACTGAACTCCAGCATCATACCAGGAGCTTGTGAAAAATAAGTTGGCGAGCCCCACCCTGATACACTCTGATTCAGTGGCATGAGGCAGCCTGAGGAATCTTCATCTGACCAACTCCCAAGGGTGGCTGGGGTTGGACCCACCAAGCAGGATCGCTTTTCAGGATCCAGAGATCAGAACTACTCAGCTCCTGAAGTCACAAAACCACCTGGGCCAGGGGTGTGGGGTGGGTAGCACGATGCCGGAGCTGGAAGGAGGACAGCTACTGGTGAGGCCAGCAGGCTTCTCTGAGGATGCCCCCTCTTCCCACCTCAGCACTGACCCTGTACCAGAGTGATCTGTTAATCGCCTGCCTGTGAGTTCCTTGAGGGCAAGAACTGTGCTTCATTCATTCATTCCACAAGTATTTATTGAGACCTTCATATGTTAGAAATAGGCTTTAATGGGGGGTGAGGCTCAGTCAGTCCTCCTAGAGCTTCCAGTGTTGGGAGGTAGGCAGTAAGACCAGGCAGCTCTAGTAAAGTATATTAAATGCTGCAATAGATAACCAGCAGGTGCCTCACTTATCCCCAACTTGGGAGACCCAGAGGGGCTTCCTGCAAGTGAAGTCTAAGATAGTGATGAATGAATGAATCAAAGGGAAGTAGGAAAGACTGTTTCAGATATACAGAATGGCACATGCAGGCCTTCGGCAGGAACAGAAAAGGTAAAGGTGGTTGGATTTAAAGGGCCCAGTGGGAGTGGGCAATGAGGCCATGTCAGCCAACGGGACAGTCCCTCCACTACTCCACCCACCTTCCGCTGTTCCCTCTTCCCACACTTGAGCTGGGTCCCCTCTCTGGGCCCATGTGCAGGAGTTTTTCCTTTATTTACTGAGCAGTGTAATAGGAAGCAATGGAAGAGTCTCGCCTTCCATTTGCCTGGTGTCCAGCTGGGACCTGACCCAGGGTGGCTGCAGAGAATGTGTGCTGAGCAGGTGGCATCACCCACGCTGAGCTGGATGGGCTGATCTGAGCTCCTGCCCACTCTCCCCACAATTCCTCCCCCCATCGATCTCCTCTGCCAGCTGCACCTCTGGGAACCAGGCTGTGTTATCTCTTACTTACCTGGAAATATCAATTCCTCTGAGTTAGTATAGGCCACTGCCCAGAGCAAGGGAAACTGAGGCTGGAAGAATAGTATAGTGTCCCAAGAGTCTCAGAAGCACTGGACTCCTCTGACCAATCAAGGCTGTTCACAGCTGTAGTAGGAGAATTGAATTGCTCTTTGCCCTGCTTTGGGAATGGCTGTGATCCTGGGCCGGTGCCGTAGGCCAGGGCATGTGTGTGAGTCTTTAGGGCAACCCCAAGGCTGGCTCAGCACCTAGCACTTGGTAGGTGTGTGAGCTGCAGGGGCCCGTCTACTCAGTCCCAGGACAATGGCCCTTCTGAGCTTCCGGATAGGGAGGGCAGCACCTTTCCCCACCGTGGGTGGTCCCAGGCCCACTCTGAATCTGACCCCAAGCCAGCCTCTTGCTCAGGGGACTTGGGACATAGCCATGGTGATGGCCGTGGCTGCCATCTTGGTGATGAGTGTTTTGTGCAGGTACCCTGTCCGTGTGTACACCTACTTCTCTGTAAGAAAACCCCTGGGGGAATGAGCAGCTCAGCAGACAGAGGCAGAGACTGAGACTCCTGGAGGGGCCAAGCACTCTCAGAATTATGTCATGCCCATGTCAGCCAACAGGACCGTCCTGCCACTACTCCACCCGCCTTCCACTGTTCCGGCTTCCCGCACTGCAGTTCCCCCAGCAAGTGGAGCTGGAGTAGCTAGGGATTGTGACCCCATAGTTGGAAGCTATGTGACTATAGGAAGGGCCTAAGGGGAAGGGAGGAGGCTTGGGAGGGCCGCCCCACAGCACCTCACTCCTTAGTTGTCCATGAAAACATCAAGCTAAGTGCTTATCACTGGGTGGTAGAAATCTCTAGTATTTTTTTCTTTTTGCTTAGTTGATTTTTACATTTTCTAATTTTTCTACAGAGACTACATATTGCATCACTGAAACGAATAAGGGGATGGAATTTGTAAGGAATACCCTGGGTATTATCCTGGGGCGTCCAGGTTGGGTTCTGTGCTTCCCCAAGAGTGGGGATTTACTTGTGTGTGCAAACAGGCAGTTTCCAGCCCTCCCTTTCCTCCTGCCTTCCCTGTCCTCTCTCCTACCTTGGCCTCCAGGCGTGGAGGCCTGTCCTGCCCACCACCGCAGGCCCAGAAACGCCCCCGCAGGTGCAGAAACGCCCATGCACGTGCTGCCGCGCCTCGGAGCTGGGCTGTACTGTAGAATCGGTGCCAGCTCGTTGGCTCGTGGCCTGTTTATTTGCTGCCTGCCCCACCTGATGGTGCGCTGTTTGAGGGCAAGACAGGTTCTGAGTTGCCAGGGATGGGCGCCGACTGGGTGCAGAGAGCGCGCTGGTGACCCATGTGGAGGCGGTGGGAGAAAGGGTCAGGCACGCAGGGGAGGAACGGGGAACCCGCCAGGCCGGCTTGCTTGGTTCCCAGGGGGTGTACGGCTTCACGTCTAACTTCCCCTCGGGGCTTCTTTCCTAGATCCACTTCCCAGACGTGGAGCGGGTCGAGTGGGCCAACAAGGTAAGGCCGCTGGCAGGGCCAGACGCAGCCAGCCATCCTGCCTCCCCCCGCGGCTGTCACCCCAGCAGCCTGATGGGGGCCTGGCGGCAGGCAGTTCCCTTGCCTAATGGGGGTAGGGATGCTCCCCTTCCCTCTTCTGTCACCAGAATGGCTTTCCTTTGTTAACGACAACAAAAAGGTACAATCCCCACTGGCCCACCAGGCCAAGAGCTGCACTTTCCTAGGGAGAGGATGACATTAATTAGACAACAGCTTCTGGTGCCTGGTTTCCTGCCTAGATCCAACACCATTGCTGCACAGTCTTGGGCAGATTGCCTAATGCTTCTGAGCTGGTTTCCTTATCCGTGAAATAGGAATAATTAGGGTCCTCGCCCTGGCTCAATCCACTGACATCATTAGTGTAATTGCTGTTAGGTCACCCCTGGGAACTCCCCTTGGACTCTGCTGCCAGATGTCCCCAGGAGGCCCCTGCTGGTTGATGACCCCTGGCCGAGCCCTCCCCAGCAGGAATCCCGACTTCACAGAGGAGGAACCAGAGGCCTGCCCCTCCCTGATCTGCCCAGACCTGTCCCTAACCATGAGGACTCCATGGCAGCCCCCACCTGAAGTCTCCTGACTGAGGAATTTTTCTAATACAAACCTTGCCTCTGGGAGGAGGCTTAGCCCATAGCAGGGATGACTTCGGTATAAGAAAGGACTTCTGATGGATGTTGATCCAAGATTGGTATTTTCACATTACCAGAAGTGTCATTGCTGAGTGCATCAGAAAGCATTCCCTGGCGGGACCTGGTAGCTCACATCTGTGGTCCCACCTCCTTGGGAGACCAAGGCAGGAGATCGCTTCAGCCCAAGAGTTCAAGGCCAGCCTGGTCAACATAGTAAGGCTCCATCTCAGAAACAACAACAGTAACAAAAAAGAACAGAGAACATTCTCAGCCTCTGGGTAAATCTGGAAGAAGCAGGTTGCCGCCTTAAGAGGAGCAACTGGATTTCTGAGGATTTGTGCAGGACCCAGTGCCTCTGGGGCAAACCTTGTAGCGTTCCTCCTGCACTGTGTTAGCTGCTTCACGGATCTCTGCCTGTGTTACGTCTTTCTTTCAGAAACACACAGAGGCCTCCACATGGCACTGGAGATAGAAGACTGTTGGGATGTGAGGCTCCCACCTTCGTCTTGGATGGGGGGACAGGGACAGTTGTGTAGGTAAACCACATACTAGGGCACGGAGTGTGGCCTAACGAGCTTTATACTCAGGAGGCACTTGGCCAGTGACAAACCAGCAAGACAGGAAGGTGAGACCTGACCCGAGAAAGGAGAACCTGGGGCTTGGAGAGGCCTTTGAGAGATGGGAACAACGAGCCCTGAAGTCTCACAGCCTTCAGTCTTCTCCAGTGATGGCTTTGGAAGGGCACACGGAGGAAGGACATGCATCTTTAAACTGAAACTCAAGCCCGTAGGAAAGAAGAGAGAAAGCCCCAGAGTTTGGGACCAGCTTAGGTAACATAGGAGGACCCATCTCTACAAAAACATTAAAAAATAGCCAGGTGTGGTGGTGCACGCTTGTGGTCCCAGCCACACAGGAGGCTGTGGTGGGAGATTACCTAAGCCTGGGAGGTGGAGGCTGCAGCGAGCTGTAACCACACCACTGCACTCCAGCCTGGGTGACAGAGTGAGATCGTGTCTCAAAGAAGAAAAAAGGAGGCCGGGCCCAGTGGCTCATGCCTGTAATCCCAGCACTTTGGGAAGCCAAGGTGGGCAGATCACTTGCAGCCATGAGTTTGAGACCCCTGGGGAAATGTTGAAACCCCATCTCTACTAAAAATACAACAACAAAATGAACCAGATGTGGTGTCAGGCGCCTGTAATCCCAGCTACTTGGGAGGCTGAGGCAGGAGAATCGCTTGAACCCAGGAGGTGGAGGTTGCAGTGAGCTGAGATCATGCCACTGCAGTCTAGCGTGGGTGACAAGAGCGAAATTCCATCTCAAAAAAAAAAGAAAAAGAAGATGATGAAGAAGCCTTGCCCCAAACAGAGCGTATCTGCTGGCCAGCCCTCCCCCATCCCCTCTGATTTCCACCCTCCTCCCTTGTCTCTGCCACCTTCCTCTCTGCAGCTTCTGCACTTAGTTCCCAGACCAGCACTGTGAGTCATTCTGCTGCAGAAATCAAGCAAAGGCTGCCTTTTCTGATTGCTAGAAATTAAATCCATAGGAAACAATTTAACTTTCTCTTCTGTAATTTTTTTCTTAAACCTCTGGTATCTGCTACTTTTTTTTTTAAAAGCCACGATGTAGAATGAGATCATGTTTTAGCACAGAACCAAAGGGCTCCATAATATTCAGTGTAGTGAATTAGCAGTTCATGGTGCTCTGCAAAATAGCACCAAATCTTGGGGTCCTGCTGCCTGCATGACAGTGGGAACCACGGCTGTAGTTATCAGATGTTTGATGGACAGACAGATGAACAGGTGAGCATATGGGTGGGCAGCAGGCAGGTGAGTGCTGCAGCATAGGGACCCCCACCCTGAGACCAGGCTGCAGAGAATCAGGACTTTGTCCTATGCAGCTGTGGGTCTGCAGTGGGGGTACAGACCTGACTATCAAGGGCCTCTTCCTATCTTCACAGATAATCTCTCAGACCTGGCCCTACCTCAGCATGATCATGGAAAGCAAGTTCCGGGAGAAACTTGAGCCCAAGATCCGGGAGAAGAGCGTCCACCTGAGGACCTTTACCTTCACCAAGCTCTACTTTGGACAGAAGGTGGGTGTGTCTCGGGAGGGTCAGCCTGGGCTGGCTGTGCAGTCTTTTCTCTGTCCCTGACCTTTCTCCCACCTAGGTCAGTCATATGACTGCAGAGATCCCACTGGACCTTACGGGAGTATACCTCCCCCCACCTGCATTTTCGAGCCTGTCAGCCTCAGTAGACACCCTTCCCCACCATCCCTGCACCACCATCTCCCCAGGTTCCAAGGAAGTCTGGCTCAGAGGAAACGTGGGAAATATTTCTACTTTTCTTTTCTCCTTCCTTCCTTCCTTTCCTCTCTTTCCTTCCTTTCCTTTCTTTGATGGAGTCTTGCTCTGTCGCCAGTCTGGAGTGCAGTGGCGTGATCTCGGCTCAGTGCAACCTCTGCCTCCCGGGTTCAAGTGATTCCCCTGCCTCAGCCTCCTCAGCAGCTAGGACTACAGGCATGCACCACCACGCCTGGCTAATTTTTTGTATTTTAGTAGAGATGAGGTTTCACCATGATGGCCAGGATGGTCTAGATCTTCTGACCTCATGATCCGCCTGCCTTAGCCTCCCAAAGTGCTGGGATTACAGGCCTGAGCCACTGCACCCAGCCATTTCCACTTTTCTTAAGCAAAACTTGGAAGACATGCCATGCTGGTAGCCAGACAGAAAGATGGAAATCACAGTCGCTAACCTCAGTGCCGGTGAACACACGCTCACACTTTGGATAGTCAGTGCTGCCAAGCACTTTATATTTTCTACTAATTGGCTGGTGTGTCAGTCAGTGTGACGGGTCCATGCTAGTTCTGTGAAGATCAGTAGGTGTCCCAGGATGAAATGGTCTGTGGCCAATGAAATTTGTATGGGCACAGCTAACACCATGGTCCCTGTTCTAGACTGGGCTTCCCGTTTCAGCCTTGGTGCCCTACTCCTCCTGCCTCGAAGTGCCCCCAGTGACTTGAGTCTTTTGATCATCCAGAATATATCCCCCAGGCAGAGATCACTGTGACCCAGTGAGTGAGAGGCACTGGGAACAAGCAGGTGTCCGAGTACAGGCCAGCCTGATGAGAGCTGTCTGCCAGCCCTGCCTGGCTAGCCCCAGCACAGGGGTGCATTAGGCAGGCCTGAGCCCTGGAGATTGGGATTTCTGCCACTCAAACTGGCTTGTGCCAGCATCTGTTGGTTCATGCGTTCTTTCCTTGTTTCATTCACCTGTGACTTACTGAGCACATGCTGTGTGCTGGGCATCATAGAGTCAGGTGTGGCTGCACCCCTTCCTGTGGGAGGGACACATCGACCAGTGGATGACAACATGGCAGTGTGTGCATGCCTGATGGCAGAGGAATGCGAGTTCAGAAATGGAAGGGTGGAGGGGCTGTGGCAGTCAGGGAAGACCCAGGAAGAGGCGATGTCTCTGTTGGCTTTTGAAGAATTCAGCAGGCTCAGGGCCAAGAGGCTTGCGGAGTGCTGTGTTCACAGCGGAGCCTGCTCAGCCAGGCTGTCCTCTGGTGGTTGTGCCTATGGCAGGGGCCTCCAGCTTTCAGTACCAGGCTGCACAGCATGAGGTCAGCAGTTGGGGTGAGCATTGCTGCCTAAGCTCCACCTCGTGCCAGATCAGCGGTGGCATTAGATTCTCACAGGAGCACAAACCTTATTGTGAATTGCACATGTGAGGGGTCTAGGCTGTGTGCTCCTTATGAGAATCTAATGCCTGATGTTCTGAGGTGGAACAGTTTCTTCCCAAAACCACCCCTCACCCCCAGTCTGTGGAAAAAGCATCTTCCAAGAAACTGGACCCTGGTTCCAGAAAGGTTGGGGACCGTTGGTCTATGGGATGCAGAGTGCTGGCAAGCAATCCTGAGAAATGGTGTTTACCACTTCAGGAGAACCTGTGGGGAAGCTGCTGGCCTACCACATGTCCCAGCCCTGCAGGAGAAACACCTGCCTCTTGATCCCAGCATCCAGCGCTCTTCATGTCCTGGTCCCTCCCTCCTCCTGCTCTCCCGTCCCCCACATGTCCCCTCCTCTCCTTCGTGGGGTCACGGAGGACTCCTCACCCCACCTCCTGGGCTTGACCAGGACCCAGTGTACTCAGCACACCCCCTTTCTTCACGTATCCATAAACATTAAAAACAATTATTTTTTTAGCTGCCACAAGTGTTCATTCACACCCATGAGTATGGCCAGCTTCCTCCAGTCCCCATGCCTGTGCCCAGTGCCACCTGTGCTCTGGTGCCAGTGACTTGACTTCTCTAAGCTCCAGTTTCCTGTAAAGGGAAAGGACCCACTTCTAAAGTTGGCCATGGGACATGAACAACGGCCCTGGCCTCAGGGCCACTCTGTGTGGCTGTGTGAGTAGCGGCAGGAAGGGAGAGAAAGGAGGGGACACTTTCTAGGGAGGGAAGTCTCAGGGCTGCAGGAGAGATTTACGTGTCTGTGCCTCATCCTGGAAGTGTGGTGGTCATGCTTGGTGCTGGCAAAACCCAGTGCCAGGCGAAGGGCTGGCAGCTGTCCCCTGCTGCAAGAAGCCTGTGACCTAGCACTCTTGGCATTTCTTCCAGTGCCCCAGGGTCAATGGTGTCAAGGCACACACTAACAAGTGCAACCGAAGACGTGTGACGGTGGACCTGCAGATATGGTGAGCCCTGCCACCTGTGGGGCCGGGTATGGGCTTCAGGGGGTGCAGGGGACGCTCTGTGGGAACAGCCAGTTTGAAGATGGAACAGCATATATACACTCTGACTTCGGATGTGGAACCCCTCACAGGACCCCCCCCGCCCCAGCTTCTCCCATCCCCTGGCACACTCTGGGTTGCAAGGCCTAGGCAGCAAGAGCTTTCTTGGAAGCTGGGGCTGGGTCACTTGGAGGGTCAGACCAGCTGCCTCAGAGAGGATGTGTCTAGTGGGAGCAAATGTGACAAGAAGATGTGAGGACTCATGGTGAGGCCCAGGGAGCTTTAAACACAGGCTGTGAGAGGTCAGCTGGAGACCTGGGCTCTGCGGCACCCCAGGAAAATAGAGAATGCAAAGACATGTAAGTGACTAGTTCAGGGGGTTGGGCAAGGACAGCTCTTTAAAATGAGGTTCATAGTGAACATGAGTCAGGAAGAAGGGAGATTCAATCCAGGAAGTCATCCTGGAGTCGGAAGATTTGAATTGCGCTTTAAAAGACAAAGGACCAACGCCTGAGGATCCAGAGTGTTGCCATTCCTTTCCAGTGTCTCATTCTGTCCTTAACCTAGAGGCTGGCAGTGAGAGCATGTTGGGAAGATAGGAGCCAGTGCTTGGGACCACCAATCCCCACGTGGGGGGCTGGTCCCAAGTGTGTGGGGATGGTGACAGGCTGTTGGGTGCTCCCAGCCCCTGGGGCTCTGCCACAAGATCCTCGTAGGAATACTCAGGGCACATGGAGGTTGTGTGACCCACTCAGCTGCCCAGGCAATCCCCAGGGTCCCCATCTCTCCTGTCCGGCTCACTCCTGCCCTTCCAAGAAGCACTTGGCCTTTGCGTGACTTGTGACATTGGGCCCCTCTGCCCAGGCCCTACATGTCTGCTGGCTGCCCTCTCCCTCCCCTGAGTCTCCTTCAGTGCTTTCCCAGGATCTGCTGGTCTTTACTTTCAAGGGCACCTATTTTGGGCCCCCTGTGCCCATCACCTGGTGAGAGCCACTAGGTGGACTTGGGATTCTGCGCTGAAGCCTGAGGCCTTGTTACCTTTGCCCACGTCCACAAGCTCCAGCAGCACCAGGAACAGTGGCTGGATATAAGCAGTGGGGGCCGCTTCTGTGTCCCCATGAAAGACACCTGGGCAGAGACGGGGCAGGGGGATGGCAGTGGTGGAGAGGTGGACAGTGTATTTACCAAGAGCCCCTCCTTTTCACCTTTGGGGTGTCATGGGTGAGGGGGTGCCCAGAGTCACTGCTCTTATGGTCAGAGATGGGGATATGCCTGGGATACCTGAATGCAGGGGCCCAAGGGGGCTGCCTCCTGGGGTCTGGGCTTGGGTCAGTGTCTGGGTCAGGTCTGGGTAGAGCTGAGAAAGGCTGAGGCTACTAGGCCATGTGCCCAGTGCATAGAGCTCAGGGTTGGCAACTGGCTGCTGGCCTCAGGCTGTGTGACACTGGGCAAGTTTTCCAACCTCTCTGAGCAAGTGGACCTACCCCTCCTCCCTACCTTCCTTCTCCACCCCTCATTTCAGCTATGTCGGAGACTGTGAGATCAGCGTGGAGCTGCAGAAGATTCAGGCTGGTGTGAACGGGATCCAGGTGGGTGGAGCCCGGCTGGGCTGCCTCTGTTCCATCCCCCAGGATGGGGATCAGGGAAGGGGGAAGCCGGCTCCTGCCAGAGTAGGCGGCAGAAGGTGGTAGTGACACTAAACACAGAGGCTGGTGACTACAGAGGAGCTGCAGGCCGGAGGTCATATAGCCAGGAAGTGGTGGCTGGTTTCACCAACCTCTAGAGACCCCCAGCCTGATCTGTGACTGCAAAGGGCCTGGGAGAGGCTTTGGCTTCCTGGGAGAGGTGGTGTTCATGGAGGGGTAGAAAGCCACTGCTTAGAGACTGAGGTGGACCCAGGAGGTGAAAATAACTCTCAGCGGGAGTAGAAAGCTGATTTGGGCCTGGAGATCATTCCCGGGTCCCTGCTGGCTGGGCCAGCCCAAAACTTGGCAAAGGCTATATAGGTCTCCCAGGCCAGCACACCAGTGGAAGGCAGTAGGGCCTGCTCGGAGACCTTTGGTAGCTGGCAAGGGGTGGCAGCTGTGTCCACGCCTCAGTACATTACGTGTGGCTCCTGCTGTGAAAGCAGGCGGCCTGGGGCCGGTGGTCCTGACATGTGGAGCAGCATGGGCATGAAATGAGGCAGCAGATGGCTCAGCTGAGCCCAGCAAGCATGGGGAGAAAGGAGGCCCGAGCCCCTCACGGGCCCTCTGTGCCTATCCAGTTGCAGGGCACCCTGCGGGTCATCCTGGAGCCCCTGCTAGTGGACAAGCCCTTCGTGGGAGCCGTGACTGTGTTCTTCCTTCAGAAACCGGTGAGTCCCAGGGACCACGGTAAGCCTGCTGCTCCCTGGGAGTAGGCACTGGTCTGCTGGGCCCTAGACATTGGGTTTGAGTCCAAGAATGGATATTGTCCAAGCCCACTGAGACCTGGGCAGTCACATTCCCTATCTCATTTAATCCTTAAGGCAGCTTGAGCTAGACTCTGCCCTCCCCAAGATGAGGCAGCTAAGCTCAGAGAGGGTCACACAGATGGTGTGATGTGGAGCTGAGGCTCAAACTCAGAGCTTTCAAAGTCCAGGCCAGCCTGTGGCCATGAGGGTGATCCCACTCCTGTGAGAAGCAGATGTGGCCCGGTCCCATCCTGAGCTAGGCCTGGGCCCTCAATACTGCTAGATGTCTGAGCTGCGCTGGGAGGTGGCCTCTCCGGCCTGGCACCCTGGCAAAGGGTGCTTGGCCTGCTTCCCCCCCAACTCCCACCCTGGCAGGCTGGGTTCTCCATTCACATGGGTGTGAGTCTCTTGTCAGGGGGTTCTCAGCCCTGGCCTCCCAGTCCTTTCCAGCCTAATAGCCTCCCTCTGCCCCTGAAGCACCTGCAGATCAACTGGACAGGCCTGACCAACCTGCTGGATGCGCCGGGAATCAAGTAGGTGCCTGGGAGAGCCTCGAGGGAGATCCTAAGCTTGGGGGCCTCTAGGGCTGTGCAGCCAGTGGCAGGAGCTGTGTGATGGCAGTGCCTTCCCTCCTGGCACTGTCTGCAGAGGGGGAAGCATTGGTCTGTTTGGAGTGGGAGTGGGAGGCTGTTTTGTGGCTTCTGTGGTTGGGCACTGTGCCCAGTACCCCCCCATACACACCACAAACCATACCACATACACATACACCCCCATCACAACACACCACACACCACATACACACACCACACACACACACCACATACACACACACACCACACACCACATACACACACCACACACCACATACACATACCACACACCACATACACACACCACACACACACACCACACACACCACATACACACACCCCACACACACACCCCCCACATACACACATACCAGACACACACCCCACATACACCNACCAGACACACACCCCACATACACCACATACACACACCCCGCACACACACCCCCCACATACACACATACCAGACACACACCCCACATACACCACATACACACACCATACACACCCCATCACTACACACCACATACACCACACACACACCTCACACCACACACCACATACACACACATCACACACACGCCACATGCACCACATACACACACCACACCCCATCACTACATACCACACACCACATGCACACAGCACACACATACCACATAACACACACCACACACCACGTACACATGCTACACACCACACACCACATACACACATACCACACACACACATCACATACACCACATACACACACTACACACACTCCCATCAAACACACACACACACACACCACACACCACATACCACACACCACACACCACACAGCACACACACACACCACACACATCTCACACACATCCACACAACACACACACACCCCCCTCACACACACAATCACACATCACACACACCACACCCCCCTCACACACACAATACACATCACACATCACACACACCACATACCACGCCCACACACTACATACCACACACCACATACACACCACATACAACACACAGCACACCACACATCCACACATACCACATATACACACTACACACATCATACACATACATCACACACATACATCCACACACACCACATACATACCACACACACACCCCACACCACACATATCACACACACACCACACCACATACACACACACCACATATACACATACGCACACACCAAACACCACACACCACATACACACATACACACACCACACACATACCACATACACACATGCCCCCACCACACATCACACACACACCCCCACCACACATCCCACACACACCACACCACATACACACACACCAAACACCACACACCACATACACACATACACACACCACACTACACACCACATATACACACCACACACACATACCACACACATACATCCATACACACCACACACCAGATACACACCACACCCCCCACACACACTACACACATCACACACACACACCAGATACACACCACACATATACCCACCCACCACAAACATACACCACACATCACATACACACACACACCCCCAGAGTGGGCAAGTGCTTTGCTGAACGTTGGGCTGACGTTCAGGTCCCTGTCCTGGTGCAGGGGGCAAGTAGCTCTGATCTGCTGAGGTGTGGTCCGAGGGGAGGCTGTGTGGCTCTAGAACCAGAGGCAGCCAGCTCCTGGCTCTGTCACTTAGCAGCTGAGTGACTGTGGGGAAGTGGTTTCACCTCTCTGGGCTCTTCCTCAGTAAAAGGGGAGCCTGGTTGCTCTGTCTTGGGTCCCTGGGAGGACACTCAGGTGTGTGTAGGCAGCAAATTAGGTGTGAACACACGAATGTCCTCCTTTCTTTCTTACTCCATCCCTCCCCAAACCAAGTGTGTGGTGAGAAGCCTATGTGACTGCCCCTGACCATGGTCACAAACATAGGCATGGAAGGGGCACTGTCACAGCAGAGGCCAGTGAAGAGGAGGTGGTCCTGGAGATCTCACCATCTGGGGGCAAGTGAAGGCTGTTCACAGAGCCCCAGGCCCCTTGAGAGGAGCAGAGAAGGGCACTAGCCCCATTGGACACACCTCCCCAGGAGGAAGGGACACTTGGACTGGCAAGGGCTGGCACCTGCTGTCTCGCCAGGCTCAGGAGAGGCCTGCTGACTCACTCACTGACATCTGCATGGATCTCACCCACTCTGGACAGAGAATCTGGCATGTGTTCTTTTATTCAAAAAGTATTTACTGAGCATTTACACCATGCCAGCCCTGTTCCAGGCACTATCCCTGTCCCCCGGTACCAGGAAGTGGAGTCAGGCAGTGGACAAACAGAATGAGAGTGACATCAAGGAGGAGGGCTCTCATGGCACCTATTGTGGACTAGATGCTGCTCTCAGCACCTTACCCAGATGCCCCTAGCCCCACGACAACCCCAGGAGTACCCATTATTAGCCCCAGGTTAGAGGTGAGGATGCTGAGGTCCAGAAGGTTAGAGACTTGCCAAGGCCACATAGCTAGTGGGTGGTGGAGCTGAGATTCTAACACAGGCTTCAGCCTTGCTCTTAGCCACTGTGCTAAGAACAAAGCAGCCTGGAGGCAGAGGGAGTTGGGGATGTGTAGGGGGCAGGACTGCTATTGAGACAGAATGTGAGGGGCTGTCACGATGTATAGGCACCCCCACTGCTACCCAGGTAAGCCGGGTCAGGGCTGTTCTCCAGGTGGGGCCCGTCCTGCCAAGCTGGGCTCCTGGTTCCTGCTAGGGATGGAGTGGCAGGTGGCATGGGGAGGCGGTGCCCCCCCTCCATAGCTGGTCCTGTCTGTGTCCAGTGAGGTGTCAGACAGCCTGCTGGAGGACCTCATTGCTGCCCACCTGGTGCTGCCCAACCGTGTGACTGTGCCTGTGAAGAAGGGGCTGGACCTGACCAACCTGCGCTTCCCTCTGCCCTGCGTGAGTACCCAGTACCAGCCACAGAGCAGCTGGGGGGCGCTGACACCTCACATACATTCTCAGATGGTAATCCTTATTTCTGCCCCCTAAGGGCACAGCATCCCCACTTTTTTAGGGAGGAGACTGAGGCTCAGGAAGGTTGAATGACTTGCCCAAAATCACCCATCTAAGAAGGAGCAGAGCCCAGGGTGGCATTCTTTCTGGGCTCCTGGTCCTCCCGTGTGGCTTGTGTTGGAGACTTTTGGGGTCAGTCAGCCCCATGAAACAAGGAAACTCCTATCCTCCCTTCAGGGAGGCAAGGCTCCCCTGACTCCGTCAGTTTGGTGCTGGGAAGAATACGTGGGTCTACTGGGAAGGAGAAGTCTTAGTTGAACCAGGACATGGCTTCCTTGAGTGCTGAGCCCCACTGTCCCTGGCATCCTCAGCTCATCTCAGGAGGACCCTGAGGATAACCGTATGGTCTCCCCACAGAAAAGTACCCTGGGTGTGTGTGGGCCTGAGCCCCTTGGGGCTGGGAGTCAGGGCCTCAGGAAAGGGGAAAATGCCCATTTTTACCATCAGCACCAGGTGGAGGCATCGTCTTCTCACACTCGGCCTGATGCACGCTGCTCCTCACACCCGCGCCACACAGGCAAGACCCAGGAGGACACAGGCCTGCTGGGAGGCAGCACAAATATCCTCTCAGCCTTCACAGAGGGTGCACTGGCTTTACTTCACACCAGTGCTTGACGGTCCCAGAATAATGGGATAAACACCATCGCCCCGTCATCATTACTAAAGACGTTTTGTCCTTGGGGTGTATCCCACTTGTGATACTGTAAATTTGATACTGTCAAATTTACTGCCTTTTAAACCTACTTGGCATAGTTCCTCTGTGTGTTTGTGACAACTGGCCGTGAATATTACATTGACTTGTTTCATTCTATTCTCCATTTTTAGGGTTTTTTACGCTAACTTCCTCTGACAATTATGTAAAGTAGTTGTACATTTCCAAAGTCCAATGAAAAACCAAATTATATTTTAAGGAGTCTGGATTCTATCCCTTGTTCTCTCCACCTACTCCCCACCCTTCACTTATAAGTAATGGTTTATTCTTCCATTTTATTGATTGGTTGATGGAATCTTGCTCTGTTGCCTGGCTGGGCTGGAATGCAGTGGTACAATCACAGTTCACTGCAGATTCCACCTCTATGGCTCCATCAATCCTCCCACCTCAGCCTTCTGAGTAGCTGGGACTACAGGTGTGCACCACCACACCTGGGTAAGTTTTATATTTTTTTTATAGAGACAGGGTTTTGCCATGTTGGCCAGGCTGATCTCAAATTCCTGGACTCAAGTGATCTGCCCACCTCAGCCTCCCAAAGTGCTGGGATTACAAGCATGAGCCACCACACCCAACCTTTGTTACTAAATCTGAACAAATACATATGTATGGTCATATGATACATATTTGCTTATATTCAGATTCTTCCTTTCTTTGATAGATGGCAGCATAGTACAGTTTCCCCCAGCGTGTTTTTGTTTGTTTTTTTGAGATGAACTCTGTCGCCCAGGCTGGAGTGCAGTGGCATAAACTTGGCTCACTGCAACCTCAGCCTCCCGGGTGCAAGCAATTCTCCAGCCTCAGCCTCCCGAGTAGCTGGGACTACAGGCATGCACCACCGAGCCTGGCTAATTTTTGTATTTTTAGTAGCAACCAGGTTTCACCATGTTGGCGAGGCTGGTCTAGAACTCCTGACCTCAGGTGATCCACCCACCCCAGCCTCCCAAAGTGCTGGGACTACAGGCATGAGCACTGCATCTGGCCCTTGGTATGCTTTTAACACTGAGTATGTGATGGGGATCACACCATGACAGTGTAGATTAGAGATCTTCCACATTCTTTTTAAGAGCTGCAAAGTACTTCACTATGGGAACGTACTGAAGTTTATTCAACACAGTAACTATTGATGGACCATTATGTTGTGCTGGGTCTTTTGCTATTACAAATAGTGTAATGAATAGCCTTGCATACATGTCTTTTTAAATTTCTGCTAGTATGCCCTTGGAATAGATTCCTAGAAAAGAGATTTCTGGGTAAAGAGTAAATGCATGTGTATTTACTGATATTTAAAAAAAAAAAAAAATCTAGGAAGGAGATACATCTCAAAGCGCATGAACTATGCCTGTCCTAATTCCTGTGCCCCTGTCTTTGTTAACAGAGTTATATTCCTTTCCTTTTAAACATCTATCCATGTAAGTCTTCCCTGTAGCATAGCCCAGAGTATGGTGGAGATGAGGCTTAGTGCTGGGGCCTTTAGGAGTGCAGGGACCTACTGTCAGCAGCTGGCAGTGCCCAGGGGGCCAGCAGAAGGGATGCTAGGACTCAGTCTATATGTAGGACACACAACAGAGGGGGCTGGAGTAAAGGGGAAGCCTCGTTAGGTGTCATGATCGTTGGCACAGGAGGGAGACCAATAGCTGCAGCTGAATAAGCCATTCATGTGGCAGTTTGGAGGCAGGGAGTGGGGAGGCCACGGATATGGGCAGGGCATACTGGTGGAGAGAGCCCTGCCATCACTTGATGTGTGGCCTTGGCCAGGTCACTGTCATATCAGGCTTCTCTCTCCCAGTCCAGACCATGGAGGGGGCAATGTGGGGGCAGCAGTGATCTCTGATGGCTTTAGCTCTGATACTCCAGGACTTGGGGGCCCCAGGAAGCAGGTGTGAGCCCTGGGCTTGGGCTTTTTCCAGGGGGTGATCAGAGTGCACTTGCTGGAGGCAGAGAAGCTGGCCCAGAAGGACAGCTTCCTGGGGCTCCGAGGCAAGTCAGATCCCTACGCCAAGGTGAGCATTGGCCTGCAGCATTTCCGGAGTAGGACCATCTACAGGAGCCTGGATCCCACCTGGAATGAGGTGTTTGAGGTAAGGGTCTCCTTGGTTGCTCCTGGCATCCCTTGATCCCTGTAGCCTTCACTCTGGATCAAGCCAGGCAGAGGCAAGGGAGGGCCTTTCCCTTGTGGCTCTCATATACCGAGGGGCAACCCTAGGCAGGGAGCGAGCCTTGGAGACAGGCAGGTCTATGGAATTCCCACTCCCCTATCTACCAGGCTTCCAGAGTGGGCTACTCTGGCTCGACTATAGGGCCAGCCCGAAGACAAATTCCTACTTCTTTTCTCTTTCCAACTGTGTTATAAATTTTCAAATCAAAGAGAAACAGCCTTAGAGACATTTCTGCTCCACTCCTCAGCCTCCCCTGTCAGAGCTAAATACCAGGAGCCTGAAATTCTTAAGTTCAACCATAATCCCTACTATTTGAAGGGTGGGACCCACAGCCTGTTAAGGCCCCCCAGATTACATGCTCCAGGAGAGCCACATCCTAGGTGACCCCTTTCAACTTCCCTTCCCAATATACCATCTGGTTGCTCTGTTACATTTTGGGTGAGGCAATGAAAGCAGGGTGATAAAGGGCAGCTTGGGGCTTCCTGGTATTGCAGACCTATGGGGGCCAGGAGAATGTGATGGGACATGTGCTCTGGACACTGCACGGCCCCATACAGAACAAACAGTAGTAGCCACTGTCCCCTGGACATCCGCTCTGCCATGGACTTGCACATGTTTTCTCTAATCTTCTCTTCCCCCCTGCAGGGGAGGGGCCTCACTCCCTTCTTATGGGTGGGGTTCTCCAGGCACTGAGGAGGTCAGGAATCTGGTAGCATTCCAAGCCACGATTTGGCTCCCCTTGGATCCTACATAAGGTCAACTGTTGTCTGCAGGTCATGACACCTCTCTTTCCTTCCAGTTCATGGTTTATGAAGTCCCTGGGCAGGACCTGGAGGTAGACCTGTATGATGAGGATACTGACAGGGATGACTTCCTAGGCAGGTGAGGAGGAGGGCGCACAGCTGGGCCTGGAGGCAGCCTTCCATCCCTGGGGGTGCTGGCTGGGCCTTGGGATATAGATACCCTGCTTCTGCCACTTAATGACTAGCAACCCTCTCAGGTCACCCTGACATGGTGACTGTGCCAGGCAACCTGCCTCACCCTTCTACTCCTACCACAAACCTTCCCAGATGTCTCCCAAGTGCCCAGCCCTGACCTAGGCCCTGGGGGACACAGAGAGGACCCCAAGGTTTGTATTCCATGGCTCTGCTTTCTGCCTTCCTGATAATGTACGAAGTCCCCCTGTGGAGTAGTGGATAAGGCTGGCATGGATGGCCAGATGCCCAGTCCCAAGGAACCCTGGGCCATGTTCTAGGGGGTAGATTCCAGCCCCTTCAGGGGTATGGGATGACGAAAATGGCCAGGGTGGGGCTGGCTATCAAAACTTCACTTACGTGTATTTTGGTCCAGCAGTCCTACTTCAGGATCTCCTCTAAAAGCCGTACTATCTGAAATGTTTCTTGCAGAACTATCCATAGAAGAAAAACAACACCCCCATCCCCCCAAATGAATATCTAATCTCAGAGGACATTGGCTGAATGTCTGAATAAATTTTCTATTGCCAAACTAGAGAATATTCTGCAGCTCTGAAAAACAAGTAGAATCTGTGTATTAACCTGGAGGACACCCATTATGAAGTGGGGGAGAGCAGCTGAGCATAACATGTCATGAGTCATCATCTGGGAGAGGAACCCTGAATGAGTATTTTTGCATGTGTTCATGTGAGCAGAGAAAGGCTGCCTGTTACACCGCTTGTCTCAGATGAGGAAGCAGAAAAGGCAGGTTACCCAAATTTTCCGATTCCTGTATTGTTTAGCTTGTTTCCATGATCATGTAATTTGGAAAAGTAGAAACAAAACAAACTGGGAGGGGCACAGTCTGACAGGTTAAGAAACAAGTAGGATCTATGTATATTAGCCTGGATGTTAATACTCACAGATTCACCACCAGATGTTGCTTATTTTTTATTATCTTAATGAAAACAGTTGCAATTTTTGTAATGTCGAAGATTAAAAGTGTGGCTTGTGGGTCATGCTTGATTAATAACCAATTTCAAGTGTATTTTGACCTTAAGCACATTTCTTACAGTTACATTGAATTACATTTTCCCCTCTGGCCTTCAGGACCTTCTGGTTGGGCTTGGCTCAGGGTGAGATAGGGGCAAGCTGAGGTGTGGGTGTTACCTCCTCACACACACACATGCTGTATTTTGTTGCTATAAGGGATACTCGAGGTCAGATAATTTATAAGGAAAAGAGTGTTGTCTGGCTCATGGTTCTGCAGGTTTACTCATGGCAGAAGGTGAAGGAGGAACAGGTATGTCACAGGTATGGCAAGAGAGAGGAAGCAAGAGGAGGTGGATGTCCCAGCTTCTTTTTAACAACCAGATCTTGCATGAGCTCATTACTGTGGGGAGGGCACCAAGCCATTCATGAGGGATCTGCCTCCATGACCCAAACACTTCTCACTAGGCACCCCCAACCTTTAACATTGGGGATCACGTTTCAACTTGAGATTTGGAGGGGACAGACATCCAAACTACATTACATGCCGACAATACTTATCCCTTGCAGGGTACCTGGGGTAGTTTTGGAAATGAAGGGGCATTTGGGGTTAACATGACTGAGAGGTGGTGCCTCTGGCATTTAGAGGGCACAGGACCAGAAGGCCAAATTCCTGCAATGCATGGGTAGTTTTGCACAATGAAGAATCATCCCACTCAAAATGCCAGTTGCACTGTCACTGAGAAATCCAGAAGTGATGTGTCCAATAGCCTCTGCTTGTCCCCTCTGGGGATGGGAGAACCCTGCCTCACCAGGTAGCACACCCAGTGGGAGCAGCCCTGACGGTAGGTAGTCTTTCCTTCACTTGAGCTGATGCTGGTCCCTCATTCGTTCCTTGGGGTAAGATCCTCTGTCTTAATGGCCTCACTCAGATAATTGAAAACAGAGTCCAGACTGGGCCTCCATGCCCTCTGGTGCTTTCTTCCTCTGCACTGACCCAATCAATCCCCTCTCCCTATATATTCCAGCCTGCAGATCTGCCTTGGAGATGTCATGACCAACCGAGTGGTGGATGAGGTACAGTTAGTGCTTGGAACCCCCGGGGGTTTCAAGGTAGCCCTTTCCTGTGGACAGCTCCAGTAGGTTGCCTCAGCCCAGCTATTCTTATGCTGTGGTCGCCCTCTGTGCTAGGCTGCACACATGTCCATCCTCAGGGGCAAGAGCAGGATGAAGCACAGATGGCTCCAGGGAACTCCCCAGGGTATTCTCCAGGGCCTTCTGGTTGGAAGAAGTTTCCCTGGAAAATGCCCACAGACTAAGGACCCCAGCAGGGGAGAGTCACATTACAGAGGAGGGCAGGCTGGGTCTGCGTTTTTCTTAATCCCACAGTGTAGCACTTCTTTTTATAAGCACATCTCCCAGTCCCTCTGAGCCCAAAGCATACCCTGTCTGGGCTGGTCCACCTTTTCCCTGGATTCTCTACTAGGATCCCACCAGGTCCCAGGACTGAGCTGCCCAAAGAGCATCGGTTGCATCTCCCTGCCTTTTACCTGAGCTTTCTGCCCCCATCCCACAGTGGTTCGTCCTGAATGACACAACCAGCGGGCGGCTGCACCTGCGGCTGGAGTGGCTTTCACTGCTCACTGACCAGGAACCTCTGACTGAGGTGAGTGCAGGGTGTCAAGGGCTCCCTAGCAGAAAGGTGGAGGAGCACATGTGCCAGCTGTGTGCAGGTGAAGGAAGGGAGGGAGATAATGCCTCCTGTTGTTGCTCACCTCCTGGAGAACTGTGACTCAGCCTGTCTCCACACAGGGCAGCTCCTGATGGCTCTCAGCAAATGTCCTCTGAGCATCATCATCTTTAGATGGTGGGGTCCTTAGAATTCTGTGTCAATGTCTGTCCTCCCAGTTCATAGGGAAATCCACTCAGTATCTAACTTGAATCTGCCATGCACCAGTTACATTCTTAACCTCAACAGAAAGCTAGTTTGTGAGAGGTCTTCTGGCAGCTGGTCTGGAGTGTGAAGACTAGTTGGCTGTCTTCTGCCATGAGTAGGCTTTCTCTCCTGCTTCTGGGAGTACTCAGTGAGGTTCTGCGTCTGTTTGCAGGACCATGGTGGCCTTTCCACTGCCATTCTCGTCGTCTTCTTGGAGAGTGCCTGCAACTTGCCGGTGAGTGGTGACATGTCCAGAGTGTCACACACATGCAACATAAGTGCCCATCACTTTCAAATGGTCCTGTGTTGCTTTAACCCCATTATTCCTGTGCTGCAGAGAAACCCTTTTGACTACCTGAATGGCGAATATCGAGCCAAAAAACTCTCCAGGTTTGCCAGAGTGAGTATATGGCTGAAAACTCCAAGGAGGGCAAAACACAGCTTCTCTCCCCAGCGTAGTCGCAACCCCGTGTCTCCTGGGCCACTGTCTGCACACACGGCCTGGGGATAAAAGAGGTGCTGACTGTGGAGTCTGCTGTGTGCCAGGCACTAGGCTTGGTAACTCATCCCCACATTTGTTATCCCTGAGTCTCACGATGACTGTGTCATTCATGTTTATTACCATTTTATGGGTCACACAGCTAAGAGTAGGAGCCAAAACTTGATTCCACTGTTTCCATAGCCCCAGGGAACAAGAGCCTGTGCCCGGTCAGGCCCCGCTCTGGCTTCTGATGTTTTAACTTGGAACTGCATTCTGGGGTCAGTCCTCTCCTGGGGCTGACATAGTAATGACAGCCCAGGGGGCCTGGGGCACCAGAGTAGCTTTCTCTCAAAATGAAGTAATTGGCTGGCCTCAGTTCCCCAGATGCTCCTGGTGGGTGGGGGTAGGACTGTCTCAAGCTGATACTGACTATGCCACCTTCACTGTTACGGATTTGATTCCTCACAGAACAAGGTCAGCAGAGACCCTTCTTCCTATGTCAAACTATCAGTAGGCAAGAAGACACACACAAGTAAGGTAAGACAGCTTGGTGTGTAGCCCCAGGGTAAGGAAACAGGGACCCAGCCCTTCTCAGAAAGAGAGGCAAAAGGGAAGGGAATTAACTTATGGTGAATGCCTAGTAGGCACTTGATTTTGTTTAGTCTTCAGAATAACCTCACAAAATAGTTTTATAATTGAAGAATCTGAGGATCAGAGATAAATGACTTGACCAAGGGCACAAAGCAGAACTAGGGTTCAAGCTTGGGCATGGTTTGAAGCTGTGTCCTTTCTACCAATCATGAATTTTCTCAGTTCAGCAGCAGAAATCCTGTTGCCTCTCCTCTCCTTAAGTGAGCCAGTATAATTTCAGCTGTCCTGTAAAACTTCCCAGCAAACCACTCCCCGCCCTTGAGTGTGGTTGTCCTGTCCTGGTGCCTCCCACCAGCTGTAGCATGTGTGGGTCTGATCCCAGGGCATATAGGTAAGATTCCCAATGTACTTGGTAGCCAGAGTGAGAGCAGAGGGTGCTGGTATCCAGCTCTGCCCAACCTAACCCTTCAATGATCTCTTGCTCTTCTGTTCCCAGACCTGTCCCCACAGCAAGGACCCTGTGTGGAGCCAGGTGTTCTCCTTCTTTGTGCACAATGTGGCCACTGAGCAGCTCCATCTGAAGGTTTGCTGGAAGATGGGTGCTTGAAACAGAGTTAAGAGGTTTCTAAGCCAGGTGGGGTGGGGAGCTTGAAGTGCACCTTGAGCAGGTTCTCCTGACAGTGTTTAAAGTCAGCCCCTTGTATGTGAGAGAGAGGTCACTGAGGCCCCACAAGGGCCTCTCCTTGAGGCTAGTGCCTGGGGTCATAGTATAGAGGGATGTGGAAGGATAAACCCTCAAGCCCCTTGATTTTCCCTGCAAAAGAGTCTTTATATTTGCTACACAGCACCCAGAATACCCTGTGCTGGAATCTACACAGGACATTAATGGTATACACACATACACATTCATTTAATCTTCACAAAAGATCTGTAGAATGAGCAAAGAGAGGCAAAAATACTGTCTTGTCCAAGATCTCAATACCAACAAGTGATGGAACTATTTTGGGGCCCTGAGCCCTGCCTGGGGAGCAGCACAGCTCATCAGTCCCCAAAGCCCACTGGCTCTGGGCATTTAACAGACTAGCTCATACATATCATAATCGTCACTGTCTTGCCTGACAGAAGGCAAGGATCAGGAGTGGCCTGATCCCATTCTAGTTTTCAGAATAGGAACAGATGCCCATAGAAGCACAGTACAGACTGAAGTAAACCCAAACTTGGTTGGGGCCCAGATACTAGTAGTGGTGTGGCGGGGCTTGGTGATCCTCTTGTTTTGTGACTGGCCCACTGCCTAGGTGCTTGATGATGACCAGGAGTATGCTCTGGGAATGCTGGAGGTCCCCTTGTGCCAGATCCTCCCCTATGCTGACCTAACTCTTGAGCAGCGCTTTCAGCTGGACCACTCAGGCCTGGACAGCCTCATCTCCATGAGGCTGGTACTTCGGGTAAATCTCTCATGCCCCCTAGAGCTCTGGCAATGAAGCAGGGTGAACTGTCCCAGCACTAAGCACCTGCTGTGTAACTGGAAGAAGCCAGGAGATGGATTCATGCTTTTCATCAATTTTGGAATACTGAATGGGAGCAAGTCAATGTTTGAGGAGATACTGGCTCTTCAAATACTGCCTCTGCTCCATTCTTTTTAAATTCCTCATTCTAGAATTTCTATAATGATGTACCTTTTCATTTATCCTCCATGCCTGTTGACCTCACCTTTATATTTCCCATCTCTGTAGTCATGGTGGTACATTCTAATTCCCTCAGAGCTGTCTTCCAGACCACTAATTCTTTGGCTGTGTCTAGTTTATGGTTTAACCTGTTCATGGTTTTTTTAACGGTGATTTTTCATTTCTATTTTTATCTTTTCCAAATCTACTGGGTATTTTCTCATAGAATTTTATTATCTTCTCATGTTTATATTCATCTTTGGTCATTTGAAAATATGTTACATAGGTTGGGTGTGGTGGCTCATGCCTGTAATCTCAGCACTTTGGGAGGCCAAGGCAGGTGGATCATCTGAGGTCAGGAGTTTCAGACCAGCCTGGCCAACATGGTGAAACCCCATCTCTACTAAAAATACAAAAATTAGTTGGGTGGTAGTGGTGCCCATCTGTAACCCCAGCTACTGAGGAGGCTGAGACAGGAGAATCGCTTTGGGAGACTGAGGTTGTGGTGAGCTGAGATCGTACCACTGCACTCCAGTCTGGGCAGAATGAGACCGTCTCAAAAAGAAAGTATGTTACAATGTATTAATATGTATGTTCTATTATTTGAAGATCTTAGGAGTTAAATTTTGATGTTTGTTTTGTCTGTTGATGCTTTTTTTTTTTTTTTTTTTTTTTTTTTTTTTTTTTTTTTTTTTTTTTGAGACAGTTTTGTTCTGTCACCCAGGCTGGAATGCAGTGACGCAATCTCAGCTCACTGCAACCTCTGCCTCCCAGCTTCAAGCAATTCTTTTGCCTCAGTCTCCTGAGTAGCTGGGACTACAGGTGCGTGCCACCACGCCTGGCTAATTTGTGTATTATTAATAGAGATGGGGTTTCACCATATTAGCCAGGCTGTTCTCAAATTCCTGACCTCGTGATCTACCTCCCAAAGCGCTGGGATTAGAGGTGGGAGCCACCATGCCTGACCTGTTGATGCTTTTTGATGGTGACTCATTTCCGTTTTATAACTTGGATCGCAAACATGTGTTCAGTGTTCCTTTATGACCTGGATTGAGGTTGTTCTCTTCCAAGGAGTTTCTGCTTTTGCTGCAGCCCAGTTCCTCAGGTGCGGTAGAAACCTGAGTCCATTTTTACGTTATTATTTTTTAACTTTGGGTTTCAAGATTCCGTAGGTAGCTCATACTTATACTCAAAATTCATATGAGGACAGGCCTATGAGGTATCATGTTTGTTAGTAGGGAAGGCTTTGTACTCCCCAACCAGAGTACAGGCTGTGACAAACACGTGTTCTTGTCATCAGTCTTTGCCGGTAGGCAGAATAATTTTTATTCTAAACTACTTTTTTACTAAAGAGATTCTACCTTCATGGGTCTTCCCTTCAGCTCCTAGCCTCACAGCCTCTTCTTCTAACTCCCTGAATTCCAAGGTTGATATACAAACCTAGGAAAGCTTAACTTTTTTCAGTTTTCTTTTAACAGAATTATCCTTATTTTCTTGTGAATTTGGCATTTCTAACAAGTTTTTCAGACTACTTCGAATGCCATACGTATTACTAGAAATGGAGGTCCCTAGGAAGGGTCTTGATAATTCACAACTGAAGGGAAAGGGGGAAGGAGAAACAATGGCTGAGGTTATAGAAGCGGTGGCCCAGCTCATAAACCACCCTCTTATCTGGCTTGCAGTTCCTTCGAGTGGAGGAACGAGAGCTGGGGAGCCCATACACAGGACCTGAAGCCCTAAAGAAGGGCCCTCTGCTCATCAAGAAGGTGGCTACCAACCAGGGTCCCAAAGCCCCACCTCAGGAAGAAGGCCCTACAGATTTGCCATGTCCCCCAGACTCTGCGTCTGAAACTAAGGACACAACCAAGAGTACCACAACCACCACCAGTGCTACCACCGTTGCCACTGAGCCCACACCCCAAGAGATAGGCCCAGAGCCCAAAGGCAAGGACAGTGCCAAAAGGTTCTGTGAGCCCATGGGGCAGAAGAAGAGTTCAACCACCATCTTCCTGACTGTCCCAGGCCCCCACTCTCCAGGACCCATCAAGTCACCCAGACCCATGAAATGTCCGTCTTCCCCATTCGCATGGCCGCCCAAGAGGCTGGCTCCCAGCATGTCCTCGCTCAACTCCCTGGCCTCTTCCTGCTTTGACCTGGCAGATATCAGCCTCAACATTGAGTATGCACCTCTCTGCTTAATCTTTTCTAAAATCTCCTGTATGAAAAATACCTCACTGGATGGAAAAGTAGATATGAACTTACAAGTTCTGTAAGTTCATATACAAGTTCTGTTAGAACTTGTACTATTTCTGTACAAGTTCTGTTTTTCCACAAAATTTCTTCGTATGAGGCAGCATGGTGTGGTAGAAAGAACACAGGACAAGGGAGAGAGACCCAGACAGGCTGGTTATGGCTCTAGTTACGTACTGACTGTAAAATAGATGCTGGACTGTGGTTGGTAAGGTCCCTTCCAGCAGAACCATTTCCTGATTCTAAAGAGTTACACTGGGATGATATGTAAAGTTTAATGTACAGTATTATGTAATAAATGGCTGTCATTTATGAAGGGTTTACTATGGGCTTAGCATGTTATCTGATTTAACTTTCACAATAACCCTACAAGATGGAACTTATTATCATAAAAGTTGAATAAATTCATTCAAGGTCCCAAAAGGAATCATGATACAAAGGCAGATCCCACTTCAGGGTTCCCGTTCTTCCTACTGTGAAATAGGATAATTATACATGAATGCTGGATGGAACTAATTCCAACAGAAAGTAAACTCACTGCAGATTATCCCACATGGCTCTATGCTCCTCAAGCAGGAATGCTTCTTTGTCTTTGGGGTGGGGGAAGAGGGCCAATGCTTGTTACTGCAAGAGAAGTGATGTGCTCTTTCTTTACAGAGGTGGGGACCTCAGGCGGCGGCAGCTGGGCGAGATTCAGCTCACAGTGCGCTATGTGTGTCTGCGGCGCTGCCTCCGCGTGCTCATCAACGGCTGCAGGTAAAGAGATTCTAGGGCCAAAGAGGTTCTTTGGGAGCATCAGGTGACCATAAATCAGAGTAGGGACACTCAGAACAATGAACAGGGCACATAGTCCCAAGATAAAGAACACTTTGGGGGAAAAAAAGGAGAGAGACTTGAAACCCTGAACATTGTAACAAAGTCCTTAAAGGGGCACTTTGGCCGTCATTCTTCAGTGGTGCTGACGGGCTAGAGCCAAGGGCATTGCTCAGCTGCAACCACTGCAAGGCTGTCTGGAGTGGCTGGTAGCCACTACATTTTCCAAGTGAGAATCTCGAACTTCCATCCAGTACTTGCTCTACCCCAAGCTTTATAAAGATGCATGTTTTCAAAACCATGCGTCTAAGTTCTACAGACTTTTGACCATCAGGACCACTGAGCATTTTTGTCCTCAAGGGTATCTAATGCTGAATGGCTAATATAACCTTCTCCCAAATGAGTATTTTCACTGTATGAAAACAAGGGGCCTTTTTTTCCCTAATGTCTTTGACACCAAATCAGAAACCTGACACCATGTACCAGCAGTGGAGCTGATCCCTACGTCCGTGTCTACTTGTTGCCAGAAAGGAAGTGGACATGTCGTAAGAAGACTTCAGTGAAGCGGAAGACCTTGGAACCCCTGTTTGATGAGACGTAAGTGGGCTGGTGGCCTGCCTAGAGAGCCTCATCTATTTGAGTATTTGTCAAGTACCTGTTATGTTGCCTGGCAGCCTGCCAGATGCTAGAAGGGGCTATGGCTGAACAAGACAACATAGTCTATGACTTCATGAAGCTTCTGTACTGTAGTGGGAAAAAAGGAGCACCAGGGAAGTTTATCAAAATGGCTTCTTACATTTACTGCCCATAGAGCCTAAAGTGTTCCTGAATATGGAATGTTCTCTACTCTTTAAGTGTCTCTGGTAGTAAAAAGATTAGAATTTGTTCAAATATTTTTTTGATCTGTTTTAATTCCAGCAGTTAAAAATAAACATTCCTTGAACCTAAGGACCTAAAGTTTCCTCTAAAGCTTGAAGCTCTTTGGCCTGTATTCCCTCCTGCAACAAAACATAGGTGGCAGATAGAGCAGATACCCTCCCCTTCTCCACAAAGGCTTGTCCACTGTGTCCTTGGGGATAAGGGTGACTCTAATCACATTAATTGCTTTTGATGGGCCATTGATGGAAAGTCTTATCCCAAATATTTTTATTCTTAGAAGTCTGAATCTCATTAGTGCATCCTTTTGCTTCAGGGTTCTAAAAAGACATTTCTAGCCAGCTTAGTAAAATACTACATCTCATAATTATCCTGATCAATAACTTTTTTAAAAAGGGTTACACCGAGTCCTCTTTGGGCCATGTCTAAGAACTAATATGTTCCTTCGAGAGCTATGCTTTGAGTTCATCAGTGTTAAGGAAAGGGTATGGGGAAGAGAGACTATTCATTCAACATTTACTGAATGCTTTATGCTAGGCACTGTCCTATACTCTAGAGCCATACAAGTAAGAGATTTTGCCCTCAAAGGGAGTGCTAACATAATTATAAAAAGATGTAAAAACTGTGGTATGGTAACTACTATGTGGCTAAGGGATTTTAAAAAATCATGTGAGAACATAGGAGGGAAAAGGCTTAACATTTGACTTTTGTGACAAACCTAAATCTGTTAGTAATTCTCAAACGTATGACTGCAAGATAAGCCTGGATTGTCTGGAAGGCAGAGTTGGCAACCTCCACCCTAAAAATAAACCTAAAAGAAAGAGGTTTCCTCTGCCTTACTCCACAGGAGTTGGCCACTATTTTCCATGCAACTAGAGCAAACCTAACTGTTTGGTGTTCTAGCCCTTAGCTGGTAAGAAAACACTGAGAAAGGGGGTTGAGGCAGTCCTATGAGCAGGTACTATTTGGGGTGAGGACAGCCAGCTAAAAGAGTGGTAACCAGGGAAGAACTGGAGAAAGAAAGATGCCAACTAAGCCACAATAGTCTGAGGCATTCTAGGCAAACAGCCTCTTAGTATTTCTGGGTTTTGTGAACAACACAGGACAGTGATTATCTGTGGTAATGATACATTGTGAGTACTTACGAGCCAGTCCTGCTCTAGGTGTTCCTAATAGCCTGTTATCATCTGTTTCAGTAGGGAAATGGATGAAGCACTTTAGATTTTCAAGAAAACTGAATGAAATATGAAATTCTAACTTCCTGACTTTTTGCTTCCTAAAGATTTGAATTTTTTGTTCCCATGGAAGAAGTAAAGAAGAGGTCACTCGATGTTGCAGTGAAAAATAGTAGGCCACTAGGCTCACACAGAAGAAAGGAGTTAGGAAAAGTAAGTACAAGAGATATTTGATACACCAAGGAGACTGATCAATTCACTTTATCCCAATTCCTTTCCTTAATGCAGTGTTTTGGAGGGGAACTAATAATTTGTGTTTATTTAGGTACTGATTGACTTATCGAAAGAAGATCTGATTAGGGGCTTTTCACAATGGTAAGTGTGCCCTCTCATTTTATCACTGTTAGCCTGCTATTCAAGACAGTTTTCCCTTTCAGTACTGTTTCAGCTCCTTTGTTATCAAGAAGGGAGAGACATGAATGAATTTTTTTTTTTTTTTTTTTGAGACGGAGTTTCACTCTTGTTACCCAGGCTGGAGTGCAATGGCGCGATCTCGGCTCACCGCAACCTCCGCCTCCTGGGTTCAGGCAATTCTCCTGCCTCAGCCTCCTGAGTAGCTCGGACTACAGGCACGCGCCACCATGCCCAGCTAATTTTTTGTATTTTTAGTAGAGACGGGGTTTCACCATGTTGACCAGGATGGTCTCGATCTCTTGACCTCGTGATCCACCCGCCTCGGCCTCCCAAAGTGCTGGGATTACAGGCTTGAGCCACCGCGCCCGGCCGAATGCCTTTATTTAAGGCTTTACTGCCTGCAGATTTCACTAACACCCTAAAAGGCACCTGTAAACTCTAGCCTTAACCCTGAACCCTGGCTGGCCAACTTAGAGAGAGTGAGTCAGGTTATGCTGGTCTCACAGGGGCCCAGGCAGGCAGGACTGGCGGTTTGTCCTGTTACAACACGCTGTCATTACTAACGTTAAGTCCAAACCTAACTGTCTTACAGGTATGAGCTGACTCCAAATGGACAGCCCAGAAGCTGACGATGAGAATCCTTATCATTCACCTTTATGTTAAAATGTGTATATATGTATATATTTTTTCTTTTAGATCATGTACATCAAATAATGTATATTTTGTCATTTAAATCAATCAGAACAACCACTTGAAATTATATACATATATTCTTGTGTGGAATTTAACTGCATGACTGAATAGCATAAGGAAAAGGTTATTTAAAAGCAAGAACTACTTTTTTTGTTGGATTTTTTTTCTTCAAGTCCAGAAAGAAATGATACATTTGTGCCTACTAAATTATCCAAACCTCAGTGGTGATTTTTCACTTTTAGTAGGTAATTATATACCATCTGATTTAGGACTTGCCTGAATATATGTATGTACCAGAAAGTGTCCTGCCCCTGGCATAGGGGCCGGGGCAGGTCTGTTTTTAGAGCCACTACCAGCATTCCTGGGCAGTGACTGGTTAAAGGGAAATTCAGAACTGCCAAGAGCTAACACTGCCAAAGCCCTTCTGGCTGCCACCTGTGGTACTTGTCGGCCTGGAGATTTGTTCTTTTATTTGACCTGGAGCTAAAAATGTATTTCCCTAGTGGCAAAAATGTCATATATTTAAATACCTTGAGTTAAATACTCTTGTGTGGTCTAAGGGCCAAAACTCCAGCATATAGCATTATTTCCATAGGAAAATGCAACTCAAGTTCCAAACCCAGGTCTCTGTCTGACTCTCATAGCAAAGCACTGGAGACTGCTGAAGAGTGTCACTAACAGAGAAAAGGGAGCTTTCTATATCTCTTGCAGATAAGTTTAGGCTATTCTACTTTCTAAAGAGATGTTTGGTTCACCTAAATAACACGTTAAAAGCAAAATACATAAATTATACTTAAACAAGTGCCTTTTTTACATTTCAGACTTTACAAGACCAAATATACCTCCCTCTAACATTCCTGGACCTCCTCTTCTCCCTTACCGACTCAGACAACACTACCTGCCGTCAGTTTTCTGTCTCTGCCACTGTCTTCACTGCCACTTTTCTGAACCAGGATAACATTCTAAAACAAAGATTTTGTTATGTTACTCTTATTCCCGTTTTCTGCAGTTGTTTTCACGTGCAGATGTTCTATTCCATAATAGTCCAAGTACTATGCTCTGCCTATTCAAGTCCTGTTTCAAACCTATCTATCTCCTCTATTAAGTCAATCCATACTGAAATGACCTCTTCCCACCACCTGTAGCATTTACTGTTGATACTGAGTATTTTCCATTTTAATAGTTCACAGCCTTTATAACACTAAGTTTAAAAAAAAATGTTGATTAGGGCTGGGCCGGGTGGCTCGTGCTTGTAACCCCAGCACTCCAGGAGGCCAAGGTGGGCAGATCATGAGGTCCGGAGTTTGAGACAAGCCTGGCCAATATGGTAAAAATACAAAAACTAGCCAGGTGTGGTGGCACATGCTTGTAGTCCCAGCTACTTGGGAGGCTGAGGCAGAAGAATCGTTTGAACCCAGGAGGTGGAGGTTGCAGTGAGCTGAGATCATGCCATTGCACTCCAGCTTGGGTGACAGAGCAAGACTCCATCTCAAAAAAAAAAAAAAAATTGTTATTAGGCACCTGCTAAGATTACATACAAAGCAACTACTTATATTGTATTTGGTATTTAATATTTGTTTACTCTCCAATTGAACTATAAGATATTTGAATTCTTTTTTACCCTCATCATCCAAGACTGTGTTAAGTACATAGATGATCCATGGTGAAATTTGTTTCTGCTGAGGTTTCTATTTTAAATGGAAAATTCTCATAATAAAATGGAGCATTGATGCCTACCCTGTCTACCTCATGGCATTGTAACTGCTCCCTAAATAGACAAGTGCCTTGAAAATAGAGAAACACCAGAAAAATAAGCAAACATAAAACAACAGCTAATCAAAATAGCAGACAAGTGAAAACCTATCCCTCCTCTTCCAAACTTAAACCATAAACATTTATTTTAAACATAGTCAATTAAACCATTCTTACCTGTCAGGAAACACAGGTAAATTCCTGGTGTTAGTCCAAAGGGGAGTTAAAATGTAGAAGGGAACCAGAATTTTAATACATACCAGACAGGAGCCAAGGTTATATATATAGGCCCTGTGTGAGGGGCAGGGAGCCTGAAAAGTTGTTAATACCTTGGCTGCCACTGAGGACAAGAATTGGTTTTCAGCAGTGGGTGGAAACAATCAGCTAATATGCAGGGGCATAAGGTCTGAAGTTAACATCAACTTGGTGCAGAAACCCCCAAACCTAGGAAGGAATGTGAATACTGGTTTAGAACCTGGAACCTGTGAAGCCTCAATGGAGGCAACCATAAAACTGGCCACAGAGCGTTGCCACTCACATCCAGGGCACATGTATGACAACTGCAGCAGATAGCTGTCACTAAAGGGAAACCCACGGGCAAAAGTTATGAAACAAAACAAAAAAACAGGCTTAAAAAAATATTAAGCGTGCAGGAATATCAAACTGAAAAATAGCCATAGATATAGTTCAGCAAGAAGGAAAATGTACCAGTGAGGCAGAAATGGCATGTGAGAAGCAGTGGAGAGCAAAGAAATCCATAAAACATTTTGGCAAACCTAAGCAAGTTTTGATTGTTCACAAGATATAAACAAACAACCAAAGATTTTTGCAAGGGTTCGGAAACACTGTAGAACTAAAATGCTAGTACTAAGAAGGGGAAGCTAGGCTGATTCAGAAGAAAGTATTCAAGACCATACATTTAGGAAGCTAAAGATATTTATCTTAAAAATATAACTGTGTGTGAGTCAGTAGCAAATTCATTACCTCTCAGCTTCAAATTGACGTCTGTCTCCTCTCCGCTTCTCAGTGGACTTGATGTTTGGCTTTGCCAATAAGGGGCGATGGAAGGACACTGCAAGGCTATAGCAGGAAGAAGAGGCTTTTCTTCTGCTGTTTTCCATTGGCGTATAGAGCTGTTCTCAATCACCTAAGCGCACCCCACAGTTTACCCTTGGCTCATGCCCTAAGAACCATGGCCTTTATGTTTTATCAGCAGACAGCACCTTTTGGCAAGTTTCTTAGCCACACATGGGTTGCACGTTCCTGTGGCAGCCAGAGGAGGTCTAAATCTCAGCTTGGTAGGGAGGCACTTAGCTAGTTTCTAACTTCCTTTCTTGTTCTCTCTCCCTTACCCGTGGGGGAAACCATCTGCATCCCAAAGTTGATATTCTGTATCCCCTAGAGTCCACTTCTACCCCTTTTAGTAGTAAACACAAGAATTGCTAACTAGTAAAAGGTGATTAAGTTTTTCATGTTTGGTTACCTGTGCAATATGGTTTCTGTCTCCTTAGTATGTGTTCAAAATTGCAAAATAACTATGAAAATAAAGTAATAGTAGAAAGCCAATAAAGTTGATATGTAAAACTTCCAAATTAGCAGTGGAGGAGAAAAAGTTATAAAGAAAAATCAACCCTGCAAAAACAGGAATACAAAGAGAGACATAATTAGACAATACAAAAGATGGTCAAAAGACTTCTAAATGTATTTGTAATTACAATAAACACTTAAAATCTAGAACGTCAAATGGAATAAAAGAAGCAGTTACATGCTGTTTATAAGAGGTTCATGTCAAACACAGAAATGCTGAAAGTAAAAAGATGGAAAGGTTCATCCAAGAATCATTTAGATTTGTTTATAATAATGGCAGCAAGCATTATATTAAGAAACAGCTGCTTCCTGTTATCACTTCTATTCAACACTATGTTGCAGCCTGAGTAACAGGGCAAAAATAGATATATCTAACCAGAACCTTTATGTGCAGATCATATGATCATGAGCATGAAATCCAAGGTAATCTAAATTGCTATAATTAACCAAAGTCCTCAGCAAGCTTGCTTGAATCAATGTTAAAAAATACTGTAGTTCTGTTCCCTAACAGAAAATAAAATTGTAAGTGCACAAAATATCAAATTATATGAATACATTCAACAATCCCTATAGAAAAACTGTAAAACTTTTAAAGAAATGTTAAAGTAAATCTAAAGAAATGGAGAGCTATGCCATGTCTGAGGTTGGAAAACCCAACAAATGCTATTTCTGTTCAAATTAATCTATATATAATTTAATGAAAGCCCAATAAATGAACAGGTTGTATGTATGTGTAACTTGATAGGCAGATTTAATATACATGGAACTACAAAGGGTAGAAAGCCTTCAACTGAACACCAAGGTTCATTTTCAAGCTGTAATAACTAAGACAGGATGGTATTAGTGCAGGGAGACAACTGGGCCAAAAGAACAGAGAAGAGCCCAGAAACAGACCCATTCACATATAGGTACTCAATTTATGACAGAGGCAGCACTGTGAACAAAGGGAATAGATTTTTCAATAAATGGTGCTGAGACATTGGATATTCATGTGAGAAAATATGAAATGACCCTTTATATCACATTCAAAAATCAATAAAGTCCAAGTGTATTAGACTAAGTGTGTGAAGCAAAACTACAGCTGTAAGATAATACAGGAGAATAATTTCACAACTTGTGACTGAAGCAAGATTTTGTAAGATGCAAAGAGCACTAAAAGACCCATGCATCTCTCCATGAAAATTAGGTACTTCTGTTCATAAAAATAAACTATAGCCCAGTGCGCTGGTACACACTTGTAGTCCCAACTACTTGGAAAGCTAAGGTGGGAGGAATCACTTGAGCCCAGGTGTTCAAGGCCAGCCTGGGCAACATAGTGAGATCCCATCTCTTAAAAAGAAACACTGTGGGAAAATGGAAAGATGTTTCACAGAATGGAAGAAGACATTTGTAACACACATAACTGTCAAAGGGCTCATGTCCAGAATATATAAGTAACTTTTACAAATTACTAGGTCAATCTGATAGAAAAATGGGCAAAAGACAGAAGCACTTCAAAAATGACATGCAAATGTCCAATAAACAAAAGTTGCTTAACTTCATTAGTAATCAGGAAATAAATATTAAAAGTACAATAATAGCTCCATACATTGGCAAAAAGGATGTGGAAAAGTGGGAGGTTTCATACATTGCTGTGGGAGGAGTATAAATGGGTACAACCATTTTGGAAAATAGTTTTTCATTTTCTCCTAAAGTTGAAGATACAAATTCCCTACCAACGTCACCACTCGGTACACCTCCAGAAGCTTCACTCATTGTTATCTGTAGAAATGCTACTGCCTCAAGTTGTACAGTAGTACATGGCCTATGTGGCTATACACATTTCACTACGTTTCCCCTATGACTCAGTTGTATATATCTCAGTTCTGGATATATACTCTAGAAAACTTGCATGCAAGTGCATGACGATGCACGTTGATGGCAGCACTATTCACAGTAGTTAAGAACTGAAAATGACCCAAATGTTAACTTCTTCAACAGACAAATGAATTGTGAAATATTCATAAATGGAATACTATATAGCAATGAAAACAAATGACCTAGACCTAACAATAACAATATGGATGCACAGTACAAACAATACTGAACAAATTAGAAATATTTTAAATATACACAATATTCCAGTTTTATAAAAACAGTCAAAACTATATTGGTTTAGGCATAAACACACAAAAAAGTGGCAGAGCTATTTGAAAAAAAAAAAAGAAGTGATTAAAAGTTGAGGTACCGTAATAGGAGAGAGGGGAGAAGGTGGGGAAGGATTACCAGGGGCACAGAAAACTTTTGGAATGATGGGTATGTCTATTATTTAGATTGTGGTGATGATTTCACAGGTGTATATGTATACCAGAACTTACCAAATTGTATGTATACTTTGAATATGTACAGTTTATTATATGTCAAGGATATATCAATAAAATTGTTTTAAAATCAATATATTTTACATTTTAAATGCTTAAATATTGTTAATAACTGCACTACTTTTCTTATATATTTTTAATTAAAAAAATTGGATAAAAGTGGATCTGATAGGGAAAGCCTAAAGCTATTTCTGTTAGTGGCACTATCCTTCTCAGTGGCCCTTGAGGCACCTTCAATAAAGCCTGAACCCTCTGAAGAAGAGTTTGAAAACTCAATTTTAAACTAAGTCTTAACCACAGGTCTTAAGCCAGCTGACAAAATTTTTAAATTATATTTCTTTAGCTCTAATAATATTTAGTTTACATATCTGTGTGCTCCAGTATTGGCTGCATATGTATTTGCAAGCATATCTTGTTGCTGGATTGACCCCTTTGTGTCTCTTCTTACAGTGTTGTTGTGAAATCTATTTTATCTAATATAATTACAGCTACTCCTGCTCTTTATTGGTTTCCAATGGCATGGAATATCTTTTTCTATGCCTTTCTTTTCAGTCTATGTGTATCTTTACAGGTTAAATGTGTTTCTTGTAGCAATAGATCATTGGGGTCTTGTTTCTTCATCCATTCAGCCACTCTTTGTGTTCTGATTGTAAAGTTTAGTCCATTTACCTTCAATGTTATTATTGATAAGTAGGGACTTATTCCTGCCATTTTCTTTTCTGATTGTTTTGTAGTCTTCTTTTTCTTCTTTCCTTCCTTCCTGTCTTCCTTTCAGTAAAGGTGGTTTTCTCTGGTGGTATAACTTCTTGTTTTTTATGTTTTGTGTATTTTTAGATTTGGGGTTACTGCAAGGCTTACTACAAGTTATAATTCATTATTTTAAACTGATGACAACACTGATTGCATAAACAAGCAAGCAAAAATAAAAACTCTACACTTGAACTCCATCCCCCTACTTTTAAAGTTTTTGCTGTTTCTCTTCATATTTTATTGTACTGTGTATATCTTGTTTTTTTGTTTTGTAAGAGTCTCGCTCTGTTGCCCAGACTAGAGTAGAGTGGCATGATCTTGGCTCGCTGCAACCTCTGCCGCCCAAGTTCCAGCAATTCTCCTGTCTCCCAAGTAGTTGGGATTAGAGGCATGGGCCACCAAACCTGGGTAATTTGTTGTTGTATTTTTAGTAGAGATGGGGTTTCTCCATGTTGGCCAGGCTGATCTTGAACTTCTGACCTAAAGTGATCTGCCTGCCTTGGCTTCCCAAAGGGCTGAGATACCAGGCAAGAAATTATTACTTTTTATGGGTTTATTTTGAGATGAAATCTCTCTCTGTTGCCCAGGCTGGAGCGCAGTGGTGTGATCTCAGCTCACTGCAACCTCTCCCTCCCGGGTTCAAGCAATCCTCGTGCCTCGGCCTCCCAAGCAGCTAGGACTACAGGTGCGTGCCACCAATCCAGCTAATTTTTGTATTTTTTGTAGAGACAGGGTTTCATCATGTTGATCAGGCTAGTCTTGAACTCCTGGCCTCAGGTGATCTGCCTGCCTTGGCCTCCAAGGTTGCTGGGATTACAGATGTGAGCCACCATGTCCAGCCTTATTGTAGTATGTCTTGAAGAGTTTTTGTAGTTATTTTTAGTTGGCTCATCAAGAGCTCCATTTATAATCTTTCTTTTCTCTTGCCGCTTTTAAGATCCTTTCTTTATCCTTGACCTTTGGGAGTTTATTAGATGCCTTGAAGTCATCTCCTTTGGCTTAAATCTGCTTGGTGTTATATAACCTTCTTGTATTAAATACTTGAGATTGTTCTCTAAGTTTGAGAAATTCTCTAATATTATACCTTTCAATAAAACTTTCCACCCTTCTTTCTCTACCTCCTCTTTAAGACCAGTAACTCGTAGATTTGCTCTTTCAAGGCTATTTTCTAGATCTTGTAGGCATACTTCTTTTTCATTCTTTTTCTCCCCTGTGTATTTTCAAATAGCCTGTCTTCAAGCTAATTCTTTCTTCTGCTTGATCAGTTCTGCTATAAAGAAATGGTGCTGCATTTCTCATTATATCAATTGCTTTTTTCAAATCCAGAGTTTCTTCTGCTTATTTTTAATTATTTCAATTTCTTTGTTAAATTTATCTGATAGAATTCTGAATTCCTTCTCTGTGTTGTCTTGAATTTGAGTTTCCTCAAAACAGCTATTTTGAATTCTCTGTCTGGAAGGTCATGTATTTCTGTTTCTCCAGGCTTAATCCCTGATCCCTTATTCAGTTCATTTGGTGAGGTCATGTTGTCTTGGATCCTCTTGATGCTTGTAGATGTTCACTGGCATCTGGGCATTGAAGACTTAGGAATTTATTATAGTCTGGGCTTGTTTGTGCCCATCCTTCTTAAGAATGCTTTCCAGGTATTCAAAGGGACTTGGGCCCCAATACCAATAATACAGTGGTTTTTGCAGACTCATAGAGATACCACCTTGATGGTCTTGGATAAGATCTGGAAGAATTCTCTGGATTACCAGGCTGTTCTTTTCCCTTCTTTCTCCCAAACAAATGGAGTCTCTCTCTGTGCTGAACTGTGTGGAACTAGGTTGTGGCGATGCAAGGACCCCTGTGGCCACCACCACTGGGCCT